TAGCTGTACTAAATGCTACAGTTCTGGAGTCCAGATTGTATCAATACAAATTAAATGCAATTCTGATTCTACAATTTAGCTACTAGGTTCATCACTACTGGCTCTTTTTAATATAACCTTGTATCTGCAGAAAAATTAAACTTTCTACGCTTGGATTAAGCTTAAATATGAATCCCAGTTTAAGAATGTTTCTTTAAGAAAACTGGGTACTTGCAAGTTGTATTTAAAATATACTGAGTCGTGTTAATACTTTAGTTGAATAGCTTTTTTAATCAATCACTCACCTCTGCCTTTCAGGTCATTTTGATTGACTCAAAAAATTTTAACCAGAGTATAGGAGATAAAATATGCCCACTAGGAAGCATTTTAAAACATGAACTTTATATAAGTTATTAAAATACAGTATTCTGTTTATGTGGTAACAGAATAGAAATATCAGTCCCATGAATACAGCCAATAGTTTAATGGCCACCAAAACGTGATTCTCGGTATTGCTAAGACTTTGAGTGTGTGACTGTTTTCTGTCTTCTCATTTTCCTAATATGGAGAAGGAAATTAATTTTAGATATTAAAATCTGCCCTTTGGAATGGGCTTCTCTTGACTGGCTTTTCTGTTGTTTAGACTTTGGTTTCTACTCAGGGAAGGAGATACACTCATTGTAACTTTTAAATCAAGACGAGCTGTCCGGAGTGGCGTCACCGCACGTGTTCACTGAGCTCTCTTTTGTAAAGTGAGCTGGGTTCCTGGAAGTTCAAAAACAACTAAGATGCAGGGACACACACACACCCCCACCACCACCCCCAATGGCTAGAAAGGGAACTTAAATCATTGCCAGAATCAAAAGATTGAAGTTAGTTTTTACCCTTAGAGGGAAACAGTTTTCAGAGAGCTAGGGCATTGTGGACAGAGCCCATGGCCACAGCCTAGAGCCCTTGGTTGGGGCCCAGAGGAGGCCGCCAGTCCCGGAGGATTCCTTTGAAAGGTGGCTATTAGCAACAGGTTGTCCGTGCCTCGAAGCTACTGCCAGTCTGGCTGTGTTGGAAATATCAGCTTACTGACACTCCAGCTTTCTGCTTCCTCAGATTTAGGTTCAGAGAGTGTCAGAGTTTGAATGGTAGAATGTAATGAGGATGGGATGTGAATTTGCTAAATCTGTCCACAGAATGGACAAGAGTTCACTTAGTACATGTGAATTATGAAAAATAAACTTGATGAAAACAGTTTGACATCTAAAATAATGCTTTCTTCAACAAAAACCTGTAACTTTCCCTTTATGCAAAAGAGGGCACTCAGATTACTGCGATTGAACTTGGTCATTGTCCTTTTCAGTCTTCACTTTCCATCATTTGGGTTTTAATCGCATCAGAAAGAATAACATTCCGAGTAGCTGATAATTGGTAAAAGAAGCGAGTAGGGAGTGTAGATTTTAATCATCTCCCCTGCCTGATTGCCACCTTTCATTTTAACCTAAGAATGGGAAGGGAAAAAGTCAGTGATTACTTGGCCTGTATCTTAAATCTAAAAAGGAAGAGAATTTTCAATTTAAAAATTTCTTTTGAGAGTCAACCTTTTCCTCATGCTTTCTGAAAATGTTGGCCCTTTGATGCTGATGAAAACTTGACATGATTTTAATATTTTAATAGCCAGAACTGAGGTGGTCATAAGGGGCTTTTAAAATCTCACCACACTTTAAAACTTTAACAAGTGGCTGTGTGATGCACTGTCTTCAGTCTCCAGTAGAGTGCAGCTCTGTTTTCTCTCTAGATGAGCTGATGTGTGTTAACGTAGCAGTTTGAGTTTAAGCACAGAGCTCTGGCGGTCACAGTTCCCAGCTCTAACCAGCAAGCTCTCTTTGTCCACAGGCGCTGTCAGCGATGTCGAGATGCAAGAACATTATGATGAGTTCTTTGAGGTGAGCTAGTGACTGAACCCTGTAGACCTGTTCACCCATCGTATGGGGATTGGGACTTTACTCCGTTAATAAGAATACATGCTCATGAGTTCTGTTCCTGTTTCATCTATATTGTGATCCTCTAACCCCTGTTCTCCCCTTAGGAGGTTTTCACAGAAATGGAGGAGAAGTATGGGGAGGTGGAGGAGATGAACGTCTGTGACAACCTCGGAGACCACCTCGTGGGGAATGTGTATGTCAAGGTAGGACTGAGGCGGCAGTTAGGGCAGAGGAGTGAGGAGTGCCTGCCTCACCTTAGCTAACAACCCTGAGAGAACAGCCCTGTTCAGACCAGGCTGGAGCGTTAACGCCCTGATCAGCCCTCGTTGGCCGTGGCTCCAGTCCGGCAGCTGGCATGTGGGTTCCGGGAGGGATGGGTGTCTTAGACTATTGGTTAGTGGTTGTGGGACTGTGGAGGAGAAACTGAATTATATGTTTGGTTTCTTTTTCCTTTTTTTTTTTTTTAAACTTCTCTTGCCTGCATAAATCATGACATTTGTGCTTTTAACCAATTGAATTTGAAAACCAAGGCAGCATGCATGGCATGATCTTGGACAGTTGTAAAAGTAAGTCATCGCTAATAAAGGATGGTCCAGTTTTTAAATTGCTCTAGCATTATGCCACCCGTGTGAGCACGTGACACGTATTTGAATCAGTCACTGAAGATACTTATTACTGAAGTGTGGGTGGTGAGTGGTTCTGCTTTCTCTCTTCAGTTTCGCCGTGAAGAAGACGCGGAAAAGGCTGTGATTGACTTGAACAACCGCTGGTTTAATGGCCAGCCAATCCACGCCGAGCTCTCCCCCGTGACCGACTTCAGAGAAGCCTGCTGCCGCCAGTACGAGATGGGGTAGGTGCGGGCTGGCCCGGGGGGAGCGGGCAGGAGAGGCGGGGTTGTGTACCCAGTGTGACCGTTCTGTTCTCCAGGGAGTGCACGCGGGGCGGCTTCTGCAACTTCATGCACCTGAAGCCCATCTCCCGGGAGCTGCGACGGGAGCTGTATGGGCGCCGGCGCAAGAAGTGAGTACTTCTGGGCAGGCTCAGCCCTGGGGCCTTCTCTTCAGAAGGCTCTGCTGGGAATGTAGTGTACACTGTGGGATATAAAAGGCACTCTGAGGGACATTCCACACACGTCTTCCTGCTTGTCAGGTAGAGGTCAGACCTTAGTAACAGGGACCCATCAGGCGGGTGACCATTTAAAAGTAGATTTGTTTGCACAGGATCTTATTCTGTCCACTACATGTCCGAACTTCTTTTTCCATTGGGGTTTCTTGGGTTTTCTTGGTTTCGGCAGGTCTGGGGGGGTGGGGGGCGGGGGTACTGTCCTGTGAACCAGAGACAGTCAGGCACAGTCTCATGGCCAGTCCCGGTGCTCAGCTGCAGGTGGGTGCTTTTCTCTTAAGCAGAGAAAAGGCCAGGGTGTTGGTGTAACAGTCAGTCTTCCAGCTCAGATTGTGATCTGGCTCCCAGAGGGCTTCTTGTCCCTCTCCTGTTAAACATATGTTTGGAAATTCACCATTGGTGATCATTTTATTGTCAGCAGAAAAGTGTAGGAGAGAAAGAACCCCATTCTTCCTTCCCCACGGTGGACTGGTGGGCCCGTTGCTGAGCCGAGAACATCTGAGAGGCTTGGCTCAGGTGGGATGGTGTGCATGCCCCTTCCATTCTGGGTTATGGCTCCCCTGGGCACTTGAGTTGGCTCCACAGGAGAAGGGGCAGAAGGTGTCGTTCCTGTTCAGTCCCCAGCTGCCTGTTTTTACCCCAGACACTTGAATGTCTGAAATCAGGGCACGTGGTACAGTGTCACCTGTGGCTCAGACGGCAGCGTTTCTCCCTTTATCAAGTGTCACCGGTGCGACAAGCCGCCGTGTTAGGTTGCGTGCTGTGGTTTGGGTGCCATGGTTTGTTTCTTGTCCTCTGTTGCAGGCATAGATCGCGGTCCCGCTCCCGGGAGCGTCGCTCTCGGTCCCGAGACCGTGGTCGCGGCGGCGGAGGTGGCGGTGGCGGAGGACGGGAGCGCGACAGGAGGCGGTCGAGAGACCGGGAGCGGTCTGGGCGATTCTGAGCCATGCCATTTTTACCGTATGTCTGCTAGAAAGTGTTGTAGTTGATTGACCAAACCAGTTCATAATGGGAATTTTTTTTAAAAAACAACAAAAAAAAACAAAGATGGGTTTCTGAATAAAATTTGTAGTGATACAGTGTTCTTGTGTGACTTATTCCTTGTGCACAGTCCATTTTAAATCTTTTCCTTCACATCATGAGGTGACATACCTTGAGGTGACGGTATTCCACCAGTCACTCTTGGTATAAATGACAGATTTTTAAACTTAGGGAATGAAATAAAACACCTCCCAGTTAAGGGGAAGTTCTTAGGAGAAAAGGTCAGACTTGTTTCTCGTTACCTTCATGTTAACAAATGGTCTTCTCTTCTGAAGCTGTTAGTAGGCTGGGGTAGAAGCTGCCAACGGTGCCGGCTCTTAGAACAGAGCCAGTCCTCGGAGAAGATGCGGTCTGTGGCCCCTGCAGGGGTCAGCCCTCATATCGTGAACGTCTAGTGTTGCTCCCGGAGCCACCTTGTGCCCCTGAGACTTGGGGGGCATGTAACACGGGGCATGCCCAGGCCCTCGCATTCCTGTTTCACCCTGTCAGTAGCAAGACCGCCCGGGTAACAGGAGCACAGCCCTGCCGTCCTGTCCGCCTCTGCAGAGCCTTCACGTCTGCTGTCCCCTCCCCAGGCTTTCGTCATTGACGATGAGGGCAGTGTAACTCGCTGCAGCCATGGACTTGTTCCAGATTCCTGCCATGGCCGCACCTCGGCTAGGGGCACAGAGTTTGTAAGAGAAAGTCTTAACCCAAAGACCGACCAAAACATTGCTCTGGGTGGTCATCTCAGGGCAGCACACTTCGTCCCTCTGCTTGCCCAAGGCAGTCCTCCAGGCACTCACCCACATGCCGCTCGGTGACAGGAGTTCACGGGGTGTCCCATCTGATCCCTTTAGATCCCGTTCATGGGAGGTCTGCCAGGAAATACGCTGCTTCAATCAGTTTGCTTCATCAATTTTTATTTGATTGTAAAAAAGCGATTCTAGTGGCTGATAGTTTTGTCCAAGTTTGCTGTCTTGAAATGACTTATTTTTTTCATAATAGTAGAGGATTTTGGATAAATTAGTGGCACTTTGACTAGGTAGTCTAGGAAGTTTTAAGTCATCTTAATTTTTCTTCTAAAAAACTAAGCACCAGTACTTCAGAGCTTCTCACTGAATTTGGTCAGAGTTGTAGAAATACTGCCACTGCCACTCCATCTGAAAGAGGGAATGTGGTAGAGTTTAACTTGTATTAACTTTGAGTCCCCTTTTCTTGTGAAAGGAAATAAATGTAAGCGAAAATTCCATCCACAGTGTCTTAAAAATGTCACTGAAATGAGAAGAACTCACTAAGTAAAAGAAAAAGAGGCCTGCTGCCCGCCCTCCACACCCTAGTGAAAGTCACATGAGGGGCAGTTTGGGCCCAAAGCTGTCCCCACATGCTGTTGGTTTTGGCGTGTTCAGGACCCAGTCGAAAGAGACGATCAGTAGAGAAGCCCGAAAGGAGGATGGGTCCCAGGTCCAAGGGGATTTTCATTTAAAGAAAACAGCCATTTGAAATAACTGATGTATTAATAGTGCATTAGATCTGATAGAGTGCCTGAAGAATGGACAGAGGTTTGTGACGTTGTATAGAAGGCAGTGATCAAGACCATCCCCAAAAAGAAAAAATGCAAAAAGGCACAATGGTTGTCTGAAGAGGCTTTACAAATAGGTGAGAAAAGAAGAGAAGCTAAAGGCAAAGGAGAAAAGGAAAGATACACCCATCTAAATGCAGAGTTCCAAAGAATAGCAGGAGAGATAAGAAAGCCTTCCTCAGTGATCAATGCAAAGAAATAGAGGAAAACAGAATGGAAATGACTGGAGATCTCTTCAAGAAAATTAGAGATACCAAGGAAACATTTCGTGCAAAGATGGGCACAATAAAAGACAGAAGTGGTATGGACCTAAGAGAAGCAGAAGATACTAAGAAGAGGTGGCAAGAATACACAGAACTACAAAAAAGATCTTTATGACCCAGATAACCACGGTGGTATGATCACTCACCTAGAGCCAGACATCCTGGAATGCCAAGTCAAGTGGGCCTTAGGAAGCATCACTATGAAAAAAGCTAGTGGAGGAGATGGAATTCCAGTTGAGTTATTTCAATCCTAAAAGATGAAGATGTTAAAGTGCTGCATTCAATATGCCTGCAAATTTGGAAAACAGCAGTGTAAANGAGAGTGAAAAAGTTGGCTTTAAAACTCAACACTCAGAAAACTAAGATCATGGCATCCAGTCCCATCACTTCGTGGCAAATAGATGGGGAAACAATGTAGACAGTGAGAGACTTTGTTTTCTTGGGCTTGAAAATCACTGCAGATGGTGACTAGCCATGAAATTAAAAGACGCTCCTTGGAAAAAAAGCTATGACCAACCTAGACAGCATATTAAAAAGCAGAGACATTACTTTGCCGACAAAGGTCCATCTAGTCAAAGCAATGGTTTTTCCAGTAGTCATGTATGGATGTGAGGGTTGGATCATAAAGAAAGCTGAGCACTGAAAAATTGATGCTTTTGAACGGTGGTGTTGGAGAAGACTCTTGAGAGTCCCTTGAACTGCAAGGAGATGAAATTGATAAGGAAATCAGTCCTAAATATTCGTTGGAAGGACAGATGGCTGAAGCTGAAGCTTGAACAATTTGGCCACCTAATGGGAAGAACTGACTCACTGGAAAAGATCCTGATGCTGGGAAAGATTGAAGGCATAAGGGGACAACAGAGGATGAGATGGTTGGGTGGCATCACCAACTCGATGGACGTGAGTTTGAGCAAGCTCCGGGAGTTGGTGGTGGACAGGGAAGCCTGGCGTGCTGCAGTCCATGGGGTCACAGAGGGTCAGACATGACTGAGCGACTGAACTGAACTGCTCTGTTGATTAGAGAAAACTCACTTCTTTTGAACTCGACAACACTGGAGACAGGATTGCTGGTGGGGTCACTGCAGTACCACTTCCTCCTTTCTTAGTTTAGGAATTCTTACCAAAAAGGGGTGAAACAGCAAATGAGTTTTTTTAAAAAGTCTATGCAAAACGCAGAAAACTGGTATTAGAAATGTGTTTCCAAAGCCTTTGTGATGCAAAGTCAGCAGGGTCTTGGCAGTCAGTGTCACGTGGGACTCAGTGTGGCTGACCCTGGTGAGGTTAGCTTTGTGTCCAACAGTTTCTAGACTTGGGGTTTTTCACAGACCATGTAGATTTCCCTAAAGAAAACAGGATTGTGATCAACATAGGATTATCAACTTCTGATTTTCTGCGTGGGACTTTTTAGATTGCTCTCATTAAAGTCCACCCATGTGTTCATGAAAATGTTCATGAAAGATGTTCATGAAAGAACATTTCAAGTTTTTATCATAAAGATTTTTAAACATACTCAAAAGTAGAGAAGTTGTGGCGAAGCCTGATTTACTTAAACCTTGTGTACGTAGTGTCCACATCCCTGACTTGTCCATGTTACCTTCTCCGCAAAGCACAGCCCTCCAGTAAGCTTGGCTCCACCCCCAAAGGTGCCCTGCCTGCCCTGCCTTTCATCTCCTTGGGTCAGGGTGTGGCGGCTGCATCCATCAGGGTATCTCGCTGTGTTTGTGTGTGCATGCATGCATGCACACGCCTGCTTGTGTGGAAGGTGAACAGGATGGGATAAATGCGTTGTTGGCACCTGGCATTTCAGGGTAGAAATAGGCTCTACCCTGGAGAAAAGTATGGTCAACCAGAAGAGGTGGTTCAGAAGACCAGGCACTCCGAGAACTGGTAGGTCCAGACAAGCAAGTTGGGAAGAGGCTGAGCTCTGCCCAGGTGCACGGGGACTTAGACTCTGAGGGCTTTGGACAGGGCAGCATGAACTAGCCCTGGGGGCTGGATTCCTGTCCCTGCCAAGCCAGACACAGGCGATGCAGAGCACGTTGGGAAGAGGAGCATCTTGTTGGAGCAAGCTTCTTATCCCAGGTAATTCACATAACCTTTTAAGAAATAAGAGGAAACTGCTCAGAAACGTAAGTAAATTGATAAGGTGCTCGCTCCCAGGACAAGTAGCAGCAGATACGGCCTTCCAGCCACAACAATAAAGGATGATGTAATGGCTGTGCTGACCCACAACAGACAGGCTGCTGGTTATTTCTCCAGCAAAGATGGGCTTATTTGGGTTCTGCAGAGAAGGCAGCCCTGAGGAGCACCTGTGAGTCCCCACACGGCCAACAATATGAAAAAGCCGGGCTCCAGCTGTATTTCTCTACCAGCTCCTGTCCCAACTCTTAGGGGTCTGTGTTGCTTCAGGCCAATAACAAGCGGGCTGCAGCTTCTCCAGGCTTCACACTGACAGAGGAAGGACACCTTCCCCCAGGACCCCCAGCATTTCCAAGCTCATTGACCCAAACTGGTGCTGCTTATTTTCCTATCAGAAAATGAACAACTTCCAAATTCTTCACATGAAATGAGTATGATACTGATAAAACCTCACAGATGGAACACACACAGAAAACTATAGGGGAGTTTCAGTTCTAAATAGAGATGTAAAAGTCCTAAATAAAATAGTGGCAAACAATCTAGCAGCACATTAAACATGCTAAATTAAGTGGGATTTAGTCTAGGAATTAAGGATGAATGATAACAAATATTTAATTTGTTCTAAGTTTTCTTAGGAGACTCTCATTCACATTTGTGTTGTATCCCTTAGCCAGCCAAGCATTGTATTTTTCATGAGCTGCATGATGCCTACAGCACAATATTTTGTAAACAGTTGTGAGGTTATGAGCCCCCGAGTAGGTCCTGCCCTCAAGAAGAAGCTGCATGGGCCAATGCCCAGCCCAGCCTCCTGGCCACAGAGTTCCTCCTCCCTCCTGGAGGAGATGGGCATCTCAACATATGGTCATGGTCTTGCTTTATTATCTTAAAAACTCTACATAGATATGAAGTAATTCAGACAGAGAAACACAAATATATGACATCATATATTTGACATAGACATGTGGAGTCTAAAAAAATAGTACAAATGAATGTATTTACAAAACAAATAGAAAACAAACTTCCAGTTACCAAAATGGAAAAAGGTTGAGGGAGGGATAAATTGAGAGTTTGGAGTTTAGATATAAAATACTACATATAAAATAGATAGCCATATGGCAGAAACCAAAACAGTATTGTACAGCAATTATCTTCCAATTAAAATATATTAAAATTTTTTAAATGCTGCTAAGAACAAGCATGAAAAAAAGATAACCAACAAGGACCTACTCGACAGCACAGGGAACTATATTCAATACCAGTAATAACCTATGATGGAAAAGAACCTGGAAAAGTATATACATACACACACATATAGGTGGAAGTAGTGACAGATTCCTCTTCTTGGGCTGTAAAACCACTGCGGACAGTGCTTGCAGCCATGAAATCAGAAGACGATTGCTTTTGGCAGGAAAGCTATGACAAACTTAGGCAGTGTGTTGAAAAGACACTGTCGTCAGACATTACTCTGACGGCAAAGGTCCATATAGTCGAGGTTATGGTCTTCCCATAGGACACTGAAAGATGAACTCCCCAGGTCAGTAGTCCCAATATGCTACTAGAGAAGAGTGAAGAAATAACTCCAGAAAGAATGAGGAGATGGAGCCAAAGCAAAAAAAAAAAACAAACAAAAAACACCCAGGTATAGATGCAACTGGTGATGGAAGTAAAGTCCAGTGCTATAAAGAACAATACTCCATAGGAACCTGGTCCATGAATCAAGTGGTCAAACAGGAGATGGCAAGAGTGAACATCAACATTTTAGGCATCAGAGAACTAAACTGGACTGGAATGGGCAAATTTAATTCAGATGACCATTATATCTACTACTGTGGGCAAGAATCCCTTAGAAGAAATGGAGTAGCCCTCAAAGTCAACAAAAGAGTCTGAAATTCAGTACTTGGTTGCAATCTTAACAACAGAATGATGTCTGTTCGTTTCCAAGGCAAAGCATTCGATATCACAGAAATCGGAGTCTGTGCCCCAACCACTAATGTCAAAGAAGCTGAAGTTAAATGGTTCTATGAGGACCTGCAAGAACTTCTAGAATTAACACCCCAAAAAGATGTCCTTTTCATTATAGGGTACTGGAATGCAAAAGCAGGAAGTCAAGAGATAACTGGAATAAGGCAAATTTGGCCTTTGAAGACAAAATGAAGCAGGGCAAAGGCTAACAGAGTTT